AATTATGGTGATGATAACAATAGCAACAGTTACTCCATAGATAACAAAAAGGTTACCTTAATGGCTATCTTCTGCCCTTTCTTCGCATAATCAACAGGTTTGTGATTATTTTCAATAGATGCAATGCGACCAATATCTATAAATTCCCTTTGAGGAATACAAATTGGTGTGCCAACCTGCAAGCAATGGTAAAACATCAAAGATTGAACTACACGTTATTTATCAACAAATTATTCTTCAAGCAAGTGCTGCTGGGAGTGGAACATTGATAAAAAATTAGGAACACTTTGGAATGTAAACTGTTTCATTAATTCGGTTCAAGAGCTTTCAGACACAAAATATACCAAAGTAATCTAAACATAGATCCAGGATATCAACAGAAAGAATTGTAAAAATTCCACAGCTATAATCCTAAGGCCCACACACCTAAAAGGCACAAACAAAATCAGGACACATATTTGCAATTTTCTGAAAATATTCAAATGTTTTATATAATAAAGAACAAAATAATTACATATTTCTAAGCAATGTTAAACTTATAACAAAGGTTTACAAAGAACCTAACACCAATCTAACATATTCATGCCAACATAACTCAACAGTAAACGCACTTACATTCAACAATCCAGTGGTCCTGAATCAAATTTTTCACCATTATTATTTTCTTTTCTGTCATGCCCAATATGACCAAATGCCAGTAAGGTATTCTTGTTGAAACTATTACAGAAAGATCCAATACTCTTAAGATGTCCAAAAGTGTCGGATGTCATGTCCACATCCAAGTGCACTCTAGGAACAAAAATGCAACCAGAAAGAGATTGTGCCTTGCCTTTTTTTTACTTGAAACTTAGAACAGATGTATTCCAAAAAAAAAATGACAAAAGACAGCCCAAAAAGGAACCAAAGCAAAGCATTCCAATCATACAAAATCATGAGGAGACTATAATTACAAAAGAAATATAAATACCTTGGCAATGCCATCAATTACATCAACCCCCAACACGATTGGATCCTTCTTGTTGAAAATGCAATTTGGTAAAATCTTGAGAACACAAGGAAAGACTGCTTCCTCAGCAGCTTCCTTCTTCTTTTCCTCTTTAAGATTATCAATATAGGCCTTAAATTGGTCGAACAAGTGATAAATGATATCAGCAATAAAAATCTTCACTCCCAGCTCATCAGCAAGTTCTCGGGCTTCTGGAGTCACTTTAACATCAAAAGCCAAAATAGTGGCATATTCTTTTTTCTTTTCAAGCATTACACTAGCTTTCATGACGTCTTTTTTATGAACAGGTCCTATACTTATTCCACTAACAGGAATGGTCACTGCTGGGGACTTCAAAAACTCCAACAATGCTTCCAAGGAACCAAGTGTAGATGCTTGAACACAGACTCCCTCACCAGTCTTGTCTATCCTGCTCAAAACTGACTTCATATCTTCCATAGCTGAATCCTTGATGTCATCCAAATCATCCTCAGGACCTACCACATGAAGACTGGTGCCAGCAATAGCATGCTCAAGACCCTACACAAATATTCAAAAGACATATTCTAATAAGATTTTGTTAAGATCTTTCAACAGAAGCAATACTCGATTTCATTACAGTATGATAAGACCTATGAAGCATAAACACTACAATTCAGGAATGTTTCTATGTCCAACACATACTAGACAATCAAAGACTTTCAAGCTCTTTAAAAAATAAGAAGGAAAAAATTATGAAAATTAAAATATAGAAAATAAATAGATAGGTGGCCAAGTGACCTCCATAAAAGACAAATACTCTTTTCTAAATGAATGAGGTAAGGTCTCAGGCCCTAGATCAAATTGGAACGTGCTTGGTCCTATATCAGATTGAAAGACGAGGCAAAACACCCAATATCAAATTCAGTAAGTCTTTGAGAGCTGAGAGCAAAATGTGAATTATGCAAATGTCTTCAAATTAAGGAGAGGGAGTATAAATGTAGGTGGTTTCAATTACAAAAGTTCAAGGTTGTGTAACTTTAAATGTGTCTAATGAATCCCCGACACTTTAAAAGTAGAAATTCTGGTTCCCTTTTATCAAAAAAAAAATGATAAGCTCAAGTACAAAGCAGGAATTCGATTGCAAGATATCCAATCTTGAAAAGTAGAAAACAAAGAAAATGTTGGCTTTTTAGAAGGAAAGAAATGCTAGAATGTTTACAAATAAGTCAAATTCTTTACAACCTTTTTGCGACATAATACAGTTCACAACCTAAATCTGGAGTGCCCAACACAAGTCTTCTCTAACTATACATTCACCAAACCTAGATTTGATGGCCTTTTTTTAATATCTTCTTTTGGAGAGAGGAAACCTTGTCCCTTTGTCCTTTAGGTTGTTCTTGTTTGGCTTTAGGCACTCTGAATGAGTCTCTTATTTCTCATTTTAAAAATAATAATTAATTAAGTAATGATCTGAAATCCCCTCTGGAATGCGACCTAATACTTGTCAAACCTCCATAGTATAGGGTAAGAGCTTCTAAAATTCTCTATTTAATTTTAGACAAGGTGTGAACAAGTTCAAACACGTGAACTTTCAAAGCAAAGTTGAGAAAAAGAAAATGGAATTTGAATGAGAAACAATTGGCAGTCCTTTTCAAGCTAAGTATTGCATGCTCACATTATTTTCTATTAATATCTATTTTTGTCCCAGCAAAAATGTATGTCGAACTAGGACAACCATACGTAGAATTTTAATATCTTAGGAAGGTAACCACCCATACGGTTTGAACTTATTCCCAAGTCTCTTTACACATTTAACTCACAATTCTTCTTCAATCCGAATCTCAAAAAATGGTGGGACAAAAGCCCCCAGTGATGGTGGGCTGGCTACTACTTCATTAACAAACTGAAAATGCTTTTTGGAGAATCTCAAAAAGTGGAATAAGGTCTTTGGAGACATCAGAGAAGAAAAAACTTCCTTAATCTCGTAGATTAACAGCCTTGACATCCTAGAAGAGCCCCCTCCTTTAACGAACAGCAACTAAAGGAAAGATATAAGGTCTTGGAGACAGCAGAGAAGAAAAAACTTCATTAATCTCGAAGATTGACAGCCTTGACATCATAGAAGAGCCCACACCTTTAACTAACAGCAACTAAAGGAAAGATCTAAACTAAAAGCCACGGTAACAGACATGATCCTTGAGGAACAGTAATTATGGAGACAGAACATCAAGTTAAAATCGCTAAAGGATGACATGGAACTCTAAATTCTTTCACAGACGGGGAACAGTTAGTAAAAATTCTATCTCAACCCAGAGGAGATATGCTGCTGTCAAATCAAGAGGAAATCGACCAAGAAATATTTGGGCTTCTTCTCAACCCTTTATGCTATAGACAAGGATCATAGATTCATCATAAAGGGAGCATTGTGGCAACCTATCGGTAGAGAAACAGCATATTGACTTGAGAGGCCTTTTAGAGGAATCGGAAATTTTTACTGCAATCAAGCAGTTAGGATCACAAAAAGCATCCGATCCAAACGAATTTACAAGAGAAACTTTTGAAAAGGCTTGGAACACCACTAAGTCAGATCATTAGGGTGTTCTTAAGAATTTTTTCAGAACAGGGATCATCGATAAGAAGACCAACAAGATTCGAGCTTGCACTCAGAATTTCTCAAATTGTTGTAGTCTCCATTTCCACTGGGTCCTTGCCTACTCTCCTGGATTGTTTGAAGGATGACATTGTTACATCTCTCAAGTTGATTTCTAGTATGTCACCATCCTGTTTGGATGACCATAACACCTCTCTAAATAAAGAATTAACCAGCATTTGAGAAGAAAATCAATGTTTTAAAAATCTTAAGTCGGCTTCAAGGCTTTTTTATAACGAGAGGCGAGGCGTAAGCCTCGAGGCGGTATGAGGAGTAGGCCTCATTTTAAATAAGGAATCATAAAAATTTTAAACTTTGTATTATAAAAGTACAAAACATCCTTAAAAATTCTAACAAATATCTCAATAGTCCATTAATGTACATTAGTACATCTAACCTTTCAAAATCATTATCACTAAAAAATAAAAAATAAATCAAGAAAAAATTTGGAAAACAAGTTGAGGTGAAAAAAGAGAGGAAAAAAGGGAGAAACAAAACTAAAAAAAGAGTAGAAGAAAACTTGCAACCCATAATACAGTATGTAATAACCAAAAGAAAAAAGAAAAAACAAAGCAAAACAGAGCAGATAGGAGGGAAAGAAGGAAAATAAAATTTTAACACACTGCTGATTTACATTTTTATTCATTGTAACAAATAAAGACAAACCGAGTTTGTCTTTTTGTTTGGTCCAGGTTGCTATTTAATTATAGAATAATAAGATTTTATGTATAAAATAATATATCAAACAAATGTCTAAGGCAATTATTTTTCTGTCAGAACACTAAACCACCTTGGTAATTACACCATCTTATTAATTTCACCCCACCACCGCCAAAGACCATTTTCATTTRAGGCTAACGCCTTTTAAGCCTCAAAGGCTTAAGAACAGAGGCTTGCGCCTTTGTTATCTAAGGCGTAAGCTTCTTTTTATTTGTTACAGGCGTAAACTGCGATTTTTAAAACGTTGAAGAAAATATCCAACTATATCTCTCTCATATCAAGAAGGGGATTGGTTACTTAAAAGACAACTTAAAGAATTAAAGGAAGCTATTGAGGATTTCCTTCATTGGATTCTTCTTCGCCCAAGTAGGTTTTGAAGTCTTATGGCGTTTCAAGATTTGTTTTTTATTGGTTTCTCCTGTTACAGTCCTTGGCTTATATTGTTCCTTATTCTTATCAATGGTTGTAATACCCTCGTCGTGATTCTCTTTTGCTTGTATCGTTTTTTTCTTCTCTTCTCTTTTTCTTTTACTCATTTGGAAATCTGGAAATTTGTATCTTTGGAACTTTTCCCCTATCTTTTACAAAAAAAAATTAATAAATAAGAAGACCAACAAGAATTGTATAGGCTTGATTCCAAAGAAAAACGGGGTGGTCAAAGTCACCAAGGAGAAGCCCGATTGCCAAAGACTTGGGGTCTCTTGATCATATTGTTTAGAGGTCTTAAGTTCGAACTTTCCGGTGAGCTTAATACCAAAAATCTTTAATGTCTCCAAGTTTCAGGCCTTGGTCAGGCATGAGTGCCCTTAGGTGTAGGAAAGCAAAACTTCGATCCCCAGTTATCAAAAAAAAAAATAGTAGGAGGTTGTATTTATCATAACACTATTGTGTTTTTTTACAATATTTTTTTAAAGCCTCTCGGGCTCTTATTTTTTCCCTGAATATCTCTACTTTTTCCTAATTATTTAAGCCAAATTTAATTTAATTTAAATATTAAATAGTTTTGTTAATATTTCTATTTTTTAAAACTTGAGTATTTGTTTCATCTAAAAAAAATTTTAAAAAATAGCAAGTCTCATGTCCATGACCTACATTTTTAGAAATTGACGTGTCGCCGAATCCATGTCTGTGCTTCTTATGTTTTATTTCGTAAGAAATGACTTATCATATGTGTCCACGTAAAGGTTCATACTATTCATGATCATAAAGAAAAAAAAATAGAATTTCTTGATTAACAGTAAAATGAATTACCTGTCCAGTAATTTTGATTCCCTGAGCAGCCTTGATTTCCTTGTGATGCAGATATGTTCCCTAAAATCATAGTCATACAACCAACATCACCAGTTGCTCATCGCAACAGTCGCATATAATATAATAATAGTACATCGTCAAGGATTGCATATTCATACAGGCCACATAAAATCTCAGCCATTCTAGTGATAGTGAACGGAAATATTTAGGCAGACAAAACCAAGAAACCGTCAAATACTCAGAAATACCAATGACTACATTCCCTCTATCAACCTTCCCCCTCCAGCTAGAATCACCCATGCCAACCAAACTGGTACTAGATTTAAAATCTTTTTCGTCAATTAAGGAATGTAACCTAAAGCCATACTATAAAACGTTCTTGTGATTGTATTGATCTCAGGAGGAACATTTATGAACCTCTCATTTTCCTCCGTTTGAATTACAATTTTTTCTATTGCAAGGTCTTACTGAGCATTAAAGAGAATAATTATCTCCCACAACTGATCCTAAGATCCTACCTCCCCTTATCACAATCGTCTCTCCCAAATTTTAATTGCAAGCTGCTAATATCCACGCACTAACTCAAGCGTGCACTAGTTATTCCCATAAATAACTCATAAACTAACCAGCCCTCATATACAGAAAGAACCAAAGGTTGAATACATTGACAAGCTGACATATTACCTTTAATTTTTCTTATCTTCTATCAGCAAGATCAATCATCTAGTTATATGAACAAAAGAAGCTAATAGAAGTAATACCTTCACTCGGAGCTCCTTCATTGGATGGGGTGTCAACAGGGCTCGAATAGTAGTAACAATTGGGCCCTATAACAAGATATTTCTGTAAGTTCATTTTGAGACCTTCTAGACAATCAGAAAATTCCATAAGTTCATAGATGAGCATAGTTCTTGCCTGCATGCCACAAACAACTATTTGATCTCCTTCATGCAGCACACCATTAACCAATATGACATCAATAGTGGTTCCGTGGCCTTCAACAACTTTGACCTCTAAGACCGTACACTGTTGGTGCACAATCAAAAATAATCAGCTTTGAACTCCTCAATTCATATGTATACATACATACATATATAGAGAGAAAAAATAATAATAAATCACAGCGAATGAACACCTGCACTTCATCACTATACGTAAGTTTCTCCGTCATGGTTTTCTGGGCCCACTGCACCAATAATAATAACAAGTCTGGAATACCTTCACCACTAACATATTTGGAAACAAGCTATTAGAAAAACTTGAAAAAAAAATGTTGACTGCTAGGGAAGTCAAAATATGATATCAAGAAGTCAATGAAACTTACGTAACAGCACTTGTAGGTACTATACTGAAAGTCTCCCCCATTTCTTTGTTTTTATAATACAACTCAGTATTCAATCCCTGCTCTTTAAATTGAGTGATAATCTGTTGACACAAAAAAAATGCATTCAATCGAAGTTCATTTGGAGCTATGATCAAACAATTAAAACAAAAAATTGGATAATGTATATAACCTGAATAAGCCTCATATTGAACTCATTCTGAACATCCTTGGATTGCTGCTTCATTGTTTTAAGTATTGGTGCATTGCGGATAGTTTTCCACCCATAAAGTCTGTCCACCTTGAAAATTGCATAATTGGGAATACAAGATTAAACATTATTAAGAAAAATGCCAAATGCAAATGCAAATAAATGGTAGTTACCTTATTCAGAGCAACAATAAATTCTGTGTTTCTCATTCTCAAGAGATTAAGTGATTCTATTGTTTGTGGCTCTAAGCCATGCATGATGTCAACAACCAAAATTGCAAGATCACATAAACCCGAACCACGAGAACGTAAGTTGGTAAAGGACTCGTGCCCAGGGGTATCAATAACAAGTAAGCCAGGAACCTTCAGCTTTGCATCAGCTTTCAGTTCCCTAGTCCTTTCACGAATGTTTTCAGCAGGAAAATATGTTGCCCCAATCTGCTGAGTAATACCTCCTGCCTCTCCCTCTTGAACATTTGTACCCCGAATACAGTCCAATAGCTTGGTTTTACCAGTATCAACATGCCCCATAATACAGCAGATGGGTGAGCGGAGATTTTCTTCCTGTTGTTTAGGAGTAACATCTGGAATTGGAGCCTTTTTCTTAACAGCATCATCTTTTCTTTTGTCCTTGTCCACAATCTCAGCCTCATGCTGCTTCTTTTTGTTTTCAATATCTTGAGATTTTAAAGGCTGAGAAGGTAAATTCTTTTGGGCAGGAGCAGCTGGCTTGGCACCTATAAAGCAAGTGTTTGAAAACAGCAAAATCAAGCTTCTACCTTAAAAATTAAAAATAGAAAGAAAATGCTTAGAAGGAGATGAAAATCAGTAAGATAACACCTAAATATAATAAAACAAAAGATTGATAAACAAACAAATAAAATATTCCTTGAAAAAGGACATGATAACATACATGAGGCTTACAAATAATCCTTATCTTCGAAGTCTACGCTTTAAGCCTTGAACTCTCTCTCATGGAAAGATCAAAACCTTGGATAGAATTGGAGAAAAAAGAGAGACAAACAAAAAAGACACTTGTCTCTCTCCTCGTATGGGTATACTCAGTAATAAGGCATCAAAATCACAAACTCACCTATTTATGAGGTACATTCTGGCTTATAAAATATGGAACTCCTATTTTCAAGACTTTAACTAACATTTGTGCTATCCTGGGGACACCTAAGATTGACTCTTACAAATTTCTGTAGGTCATGACTTCAAAAGCAAGGTTTAGGTTCCATGGATGATGATTGAAGGCACTACCCTTAGGCAATTTTTTCTTTTTTATGGGAAACAGATAGTAGATGAAATATACAAAATATGAAGGGATGAACATTCCAAAGCTAAAGGAAATTACATAAAATCCTTTCAATTAGCCATAAGATCACTTAAGCTATAATTAGTAAAGGGAGAGAGAAAATGCATTTACACCAAGATCAAGCAAGAATAAAAACCGACTCAGAATCTAAGAGAGAAATCATTGGCAAGAGATGTACCAATGTCAACAAATCTACTCTGGCACGGGGGATATGGAGGAAAGAGGGAGGATCAGATGTCAAATAAGATTAGGGTAGTTACAAAATTCTTCGCCTAACACGCACAATGCACCTGATTGGAAACACTATTTCCAAACCCCATCCAATGTATATCTCATTTCACTGTGTTTTGTCATAAATGTCATGTAAAGAACAAAAATATAAAGAAAAGGTTGAATACAATAACTCGAACACAATCATTATCTCAATACATCAACCAAATTAGCAGTCCTATAAGAAGACAAAGTTTTAATGCTATCCCATAAACGAGGAGGTTATCAAACATTTCTTCAGCAATCCATTGAGTCACTCCAACTAAATGAACCAGAACATGATTAAGTACAGTATCATTAAAAAACAAAAAAAAAAATCTTCTTCTCTTCAAAGCCCTTCCTTCACACACATCCCATTGAAGTAACCAAGACATATTTTTAGGTGACACACAACAGCCACCAATAGAAAAATTATACGGAAAATTACTGATAAGATTAGTGTAACAATTCAACTGGTTGAAAAATCAGTAAAGATGCAACAATAAATGCCCAAAGTTTTGCATGAACAACGTAAACTACAGAACTTTATTAAAAAAAACAATTGATCATATCAAAGTGGATGTGCATCTACAGCCCCCATGAAAGTAATCCTTATCAATTGATATCATTTACTTTGATTAACGTTAAATTCATCTGAGTAACCTTCCAGTAAAAAATACTTCTTAAACTTACAAGTGTCGATTTTACATTATTGAGCTTACCTGCATCACGTGCAGCTGGTGCACCATTCTTTCTATCTTTTTTCATGCCATTCTCAGGCTCTGATTCAAGCTCCTCATCAGCAAAGGAACTTTTTAAGGAAAGATCAACAACAGCATCATCCCAACTCTTTGCATCCCATTCATCCTCATCTTCATCTTCTTGAACTTCATTATCTTCAGTAGCCTCAACAACATCTGATTTTTCTTCCACGGGCATCAACTCCTCCACATCTTCAATCTTCTCAGACTCCAATAATTCAGTCTCTACCACATCTTTTTCTTGTGTTTTTTCTTCCATATGTTCCACTACCTTAGTTTGAGCACTCCCATTTGTTTGATGATGTGCTGGTTTAGTCTTCTTTGACTGGTATTTTGGTCGCTTAGCTGGTGCACTAGGATCAGAAGTAGCTAGAGGTAAACCCCCGGCATTTGCTAGTATCTGGTTCCTCATTGCCTCCAACCTACGTTGTTCTTCCTTTTGCTTCCCTGTTAGCAGCTTGCCTTCCTGTTTCTTTCGTAGGAGCTTCTCTTTTTCTCTTTCCTTTTTCCTACGCTTAGCCTCCTCAGCTTGTCTTTCAAGTTCTTCTTGCCTACGCCTCTCCTCTTCTTCCTTTCTCAACCTCTCTTCTTCCTCCCTTTTCCTTCTTTCTTCTTCTTCTTTTCTCCTAGCCATTGCCTCTTGCATCTCCCTAACATGCTTTGGCACTTTCTTCTCGGGCACTTTACTTTTTGCAGCACCTTTTTTGGGTTCTATAATTTCAGTGTTTACTTCCTCAATTTTCTCATCAGCAGCAGCTGCTGCGGCCGCTGCTGCAGCTTTTTTTTCCTTTTCCTTCTCCTTCTTCTTTTTCTTCTTCCTTGCTGCAGCTGATTCTGTGCTCTCTTCTTCAGCTTCCTTTTCAGCTGATGCATCAGGAGGAGCAACAAGCTCAGGTGGATTCTCAACTTTGTCCTCTTGTGAAGGAAGAGGAGGGTCTGCTGGTTTTGATGTAGGAGGCCCCTCTCCTAGCTCAGCAAGAATCTTATCCAAATCATCTTCTTCTTGAGCAGTCCTTCCACTCTTTTTCTTTTTCTTCTTATTTTTTGAAGTTTCTGCTACCCCCTCCATCTTGTTAGCTTTTGATAAATCAGAATCAATATTGCTACTTGCTGTATTCAATATTTCAGATCCGACTACATCTCTTACTTCATTGCCCAGCACACTTTCATCACTTAATGCAGTAACCATACCGCTGCCTTTCTTCTTAGAGGACTTTTTCTTTCCAGAAAATGCAATTACAGTGGCATCATCTTCATCAACACCATCAACATTTAATTTATTTGGCTCTGAAATAGAAGCATCCCCATCATTTTCCTCATCAGGGAATGCTGCACTAAACAAATTGCCACTTTTCTTTGAAGCCTTGGATGACTTCTTTTTCTTACCCGAGAAGCTAATTGATGCAATATCTTCATCCTCATCCTTCTTAGCATCTCCATCCTCATCCTCATTATCAAGACCACTAAAACCAGAAGCTGTAAATGTATTCCCAGCCTTCTTACCACCTTTCGATGACTTTTTCTTACCTGTAAATGCAATAACAGGCTCGTCATCAATATCTTCATCAACTCTGATCTCATTATCAATCACATCTTCATCATTCTCATCATCAAGAGCACTGAACGCAGCGGAAAAACCAGTCTTCTTAGAAGACTTAGACGACTTCTTCTTACCTGAAAAATTGATCACGGAATCATCCCCTTCATCATCATCCTTTTCCCCGGTTACCACAGATTCTTCATCATCATCATCAGCAGCGCCATCATTCCCCTCCTCATCAAGCAAACCAAAAGCGGAAGCAGTGAAAGCACTGCTACTTCCACCCTTCTTCGACTTACCCTTCTTTTTCCCGGTGATAACAATCTCTGAAACACCATCCCCATCCTCCTCGTCCTCTTCCTCTTTAAGTTGTGAAGCTTTTGAATTACCCTTCTTACCCTTCTTCTTCCCCGTTATCACGACCTTCTCCTCCTGAACTTGGGCTTCTTCAGACAATTCAGTTCCAATGGAGTACTCATCGTCGTCTACTGCAAATGTCTTTTTCTTCGACTTCCCACCACCCTGAGCTGCCGCGGGAGCGCCGTCATCATCCCGTGCAGTTGGCTTCTTCCGACCCATGGAGATATCGGCAAATTAAAACCCCAAAAACCACCAACGCTACCGCCCCGAAAAACCTATCTGCAAATTGATCACCAAAAAATTAGACTCATCAACATCAATCAGCTATATAATCAGATCTCTCACCAGCAGAACAAACCCATCAAGAACAACAGATTATACAACATACATAAAGAAATCAATAACCCCACATCCAAAAACAAAAAAACGACAATGAAGCTCAGCTGAGATGAGAAGCAAAACACAAATACAAACACAAACAAACGCGTATCCAGAGAGAGATTATGCGCACTTCAGCTAGTGATTGGCGACAAGAAGAAATCGAAAGTGAAGGTAGAAAGAGATATTTAGGAATCCGGCGATAGGGAACGGGAATCTGGGAGAGGTTCGTAGTGCAGAATCTTGTTAACGAAGCGGAAATGCGAGAGAATTCAGATACGAACTGATGATTCCGAGTTTGCTTTCTCTACTTAGGGTTGCATATTGGCCGCAGGCAGTAGCCAAATGCAGACTGAACCGAACCGGCGTCCAAAGTTGAGAACAACCGGTTTCGACCGAACCGGTTGATTCGGTTTCTTCTGTTTGAGAAGGGGCAGCCAATGCGAGTTCCGTTTTATTTGGATTTTAATTAACCAACCAAACTCAATTGTAAACCCAACGGTCTCTCAATTGGTTAAGGTAAATCAAAATCATAAATATTAACACTCAAAGTCTTTTGCCATTGTGCAACACCCTGCAATGTAAATTAAATTTCTTTTTAAATAACAAATCTTTATTTTTAAACTTTGTTTAATAAAAAAAATATTTTTCTTTTTAAAACCAGAATATTTGTTTTTTTATGTTAATTTTAAAATTTTTATTTTATTAACCGTTGTTCAAATAAAGATTTTTTTTATATTTTTATTATTTGCACGAAGACCAAAACTACTCCACAAAAACACACTATTTAGGATTTTTGTGTATTTAAAAAATGACATCAATAGCATAAAAAATTAATAAAAATAATTAGTTGGAAAATCCAAGACTTTAAACACCCACAAGATTACTAACAGTGATAGACCATTCAAATATCAAAACTTCAAACCTCCACGATCACAACTTAGATCTAAACATTATAATCTTAAATATCAACAACTACATAATTTCTAAAGAACGATCATAAATCAACTCAAACCGAATTCCCAACAAAAATATCCAGATACCAACATAATTTCAAGGTATAAACCAAATACCTAAATTATTAGAAAGCTTAAACTAGTTTTTTTTAGATAAGAAAAAAAATCTACAAAATCTAATCCTTGAAATTATGCATTAACTTTGAAATATTAAAAAAAAACTACAGAATTGGGCAAAATATTTTATCACATTAATAACTAATTGCAGTCCAAATGATTTTTTTAGAAAAAATCTACAAAGTCTAAACGTATATCAACCTCACATAATTTAATTCTACAACTTAAAATATTAAAACTATAAATGTATAATCCTACAAATTCGTTAATATTTTATAATTCGAAAATCCTAAAATATCTCATCATATTACTTTGTTAAATACTTGTTGAACCTTCCTAAAATCTTCCCATGTAGAATTATAAAATATTAATTCAAATATGTGTATCACAAAAACTTAAAAGAATGGAGAAATACCTACAAAATTAAGATAAAACACGAACTAACAATATTGAAAATCATCAATCAAATGCACATCCACAGAATAAAAACATACCAAATAAATATTGAAGATCTCGCTTTATTCACTTTTGCTCACCTACACGTTTACTCGCCGGAGTGTGTTTAACTGTGAAGTTTGAGATTGGATTGAAATTGGTTTGTCAAAGGGTCATCAAATCTGCACTGTCGGAATTCAGATCGTCGCGCAGAGGGAAAGGTCGTTGCAGGTTATCGAGATAATCCTGTCGTCGCTGGTATGGTGCGTCGTTGTCGTCGTAGTGGGTATCGTTGGAGTTCAAGAGAATGCTGCCAGATTATTCTGCTCTTCTCTTCTCTTGTGTCTCTTTGTATTGTTTATCTCCCCCTATACTGTGTGTGCCTCCTCTCTTAAATACTTAGATTTGCAACAGTAACAAACTTAGAAAGTGGGGAAAGATGAAGGATAAAAGGTCACATAACAGGGCTTTGACGTGAAAGATAACAAACTAAAAAAATCAAATATTAGTTTTAGTAAAAAAAATCCTTTTTAAATTTAAACAAATACTATTATTTAACAAAATTCTTTATTTAAAACCAAATCTTTTTTATTTATTTATTTTTTTACTTTAATTATAAATCAAAATCTGTTTTAAAATTTTAATTTAATTAAAACTTTACCTTAAAACTAATGTTACATTTTTTTTATTAACCAAAAACAATTACATTAAAACCTTATGTTATTTTTAATCAAATAATTAAATAACACTTAATAAAATAAATAATAATAATATTTTTTTAACAAAAGAGAGCCGGACCAAATACGGTGTCTACAGCTTGCCCCCTTTGTGTATCATTGCAGAACTAAAAGGGTAGACAAAGACAAAAGACAAACTATTGGGAAGGCGAGATTTTTATTTAAAGAAGGTTAGAATAACAGACCTTGTTGGACAGGCTTGACTGGATCTTTGATCGGATTCGATTTAACCAATAGAAAATTAAAAGGTAACAACTTGGCTTGATACAGGCTTCGACCAAGATCTTCGATAGGGTTCGATTTAACCAACGGGAAAAATAAAAGTCAACGAACCTGGCTTGACATAGGCTTCGACCACGATCCTTTGATCGAGTTCAATTTAACCAACAGGAAATTAAAAGGTAACGGACCTGGCTTGACACAGGCTTTGACCACGATCTT